ATCGACTCGGTCAAGAGTAGGGATAAGTGGAGGAAGTATAAAGGTGAGTTGGGTGGTGTATGTAGTCATCCCAAACCCACCCCGAATACATTATCATCCTATATATAGATGCGCACATAATTAGCCAAGCAACTTGTGCTCAGATGAGATGTAGTGACATTTTTCATATGTGAGAGATACTACAATGTGTAATAGAGTCGTTAGCATTCAAAAATAAAAAAAGATGCACATAATTATATTATACATATCATTTCTAGAAATTAAAATGTACCTAACTTTCACAAATGACCCAATACTTTGATTATTAAGTTTCTTAATTAAAAATAAACATATAATAAACTAAAAGAAATTGAGAAAATTACACTTTTGGTCCTATGACTATAGAGGAGGTGGTAATTTCAGTTCGTGACTTTTAAAACTAACAGATTTAGTCCTTTTAGTAAGCTTTTTTTTACACATTAAGTCCTTCCGGCCAAATCACCGGTGGATTTTGGCCGGAAAAACACAATCCCTTAATTTATTAAATATTTAGAGGGTAAAATGGTCAATTCAGATTGTTCTTTCTTCTTCCTTCTTCTTCCTTCTCCTTCCTACTTCGTTCTTCTTCTTCCTTCTTGTAGAGAGTTGCAGCGGCAACAATAATATAATCCCCAGTCTGGTTTGGGTTCCCCGTCCCCCGCCGATCGTTTTATCTACAATGCCATGGATGGATCCTCAAAAAGAAAACAAAAAACACTAAAAGAAGGGCATGCATGTACCTGTCCGGCCGACAGAAACCGCACCAAGAAACCGCACCAACCCATCATAGAAAAGGGGGAAAAACGACTTCCCAAAAAATTATGTTCACGGCTTTCTGTTTTTGGCCGTCCGGAGACGAGAGGATGCTCTGTATGTGCTACTGGTTTCGTGAGGCATTCTCCGGCGTGACAGTATGGGGGATGGGGGATCCCAGCCCTCTGCAACAAATACATCCAGTTGCAACATTCACGACAATTTGAGCAACCATGAGAGCTACAGCTGTAGTCAATCCAAGGCCTAGTGCAGGACTCCTGGGGTATACACATTCCGAAGGTGAAGTGAATTCAACTTGAGAACCCTGAACAATTGGGCAATCAAATCAATGGTGGCTCTTAGAAAGCTTCAACTGGATGTATTTGTTGCAGAAAAGGTCCACATCAGTCGAACTCTAACTGGACATTGGCGCTCGTTTGTTTTGTTGTTTCCTGGTAATTTGGTCATGAACTTCTGGATTCACTATTGGTACTCGAGTATCATTTTCCAGCAAAAATTTGGATGCCGATTATTGCTCCTTGTGCAGGTTCACGTTTGTCATAGCATTTCTGCTTCTGCTAACTGCTACGTAGTTAAACCTGGAGTTTTTGCCGGAGCTACTGTCCTGTCCCTTGCAAGTGTTTCTCTCGGGATTGTCTATTATCTCACCCTGATTTACCGGTGAAATATATGTCGCCGGACCTTCTCCAGCTGCCGGCATGTGTGGGTGGCACCGGAGCTCCGGTGGTTGACCGACACTGGTCTTTGGAAGGAAGAAGAAAGAACAATCTGAATTGACCATTTTACCCCCCAAATATTTAATAAATTAAGGGATTGTGTTTTTCCGGCCAAAATCCACCGGTGATTTGGCCGGAAGGACTTAATGTGTAAAAAAAAGCTTACTAAAAGGACTAAATCTGTTAGTTTTAAAAGTCACGAACTGAAATTACCACCTCCACTATAGTCATAGGACCAAAAGTGTAATTTTCTCTAAACTAAAAATAAACATATAGTATACTAAAAAAAAAAAAAAAAAAAAAAAAAAAAAAAAAAAAAACCTATATTAGGTTCTTCTTACATTGATTGCATAATCATACATACCACTTGCGATAAAATTAAAGAGGTGTAATAATAAATGATTACATTTTTAGTCATCTTGAATTGTAATTCCTTTTTTATTTTTTTAAATGGGTCCTTCTTTTTCAATTGGCCCATATGCCCATCTCACAATCTAAGGCGAATTATATTGTGGATTATCGTTTATATTTGGGAAAATTATATCCGCGCAAATTATGCCCTCGAAACGTGTTCACCATGAATGGTGAACACGGGTCCAAACAGCGTCGTTTTTACGTAAAAAAAAAAAAAAAATTAAAATTCACCGATGTGGTGTTAACGGCACGCGTTTGGTCAGATTATGAATTTTCTATTATGAGATTATGAATGTACTGTAAATTCATAATCTCATAACAAAAAATTCATAATCTCATAATAGAAAATTCATAATCTCAAAACAGAAAATTCATAATCTCATAACAGAAAATTCATAATCCCATAACAGAAAATTCATAATATTCATAACAGAAAATTCATAATTTATGAATGTTGAAGAAGCTTGCACTATAGAGGAGCAGTCATGGTTTCAGACGGGAATGTGTAGGCACGGGTCCAAAGTGAATGTGCAGGCAGCAGTCATGGTTTCGGACGGGAATGTGTAGGCACGGGTCCAAAGTGAATGTGCAGGCATGGATTCATAATTTATGAATGTCCGAAATCCTCACATCAAATTAAAGTGAAACCGCGAAATGTGAAAATGAAGAAGAAAAGTCACGCGATTAATTAAGAAAAAAAAAAAAGATAATGGTGCACTAACACCGTTGGGACCGTGTTCACTATGGATGGTGAACACGGTTCCATGGCATAACGATTGAATTATATCAGGCACAGGGATGCATAATTCATTGTACACCCTGGCCAAAACGACGTCGTTTCTCGTTTCTGCCACTAACAACTAAAAATTAAAAAAAAAAAATCTTTTTTTCGGATTACAGAATTGTATAGTAGAATACACATAAACTCCTAACATAATACACATAATCTAACATAATACATAATACACATAAACTCTTAACATAATACACATAAACACAATTGTTAAAAAAAAAAAAAAAAAAAAAAAAAAAAAAAAAAAAAAACTGTAACGAGATTGGACGGACGGAACGGTGTCCATCGCATCAACTCCCCACACAACTTATAAAAACGACGTCGTTTTGGACCAGGGCGCACAATGCATCGCATCGGAACGGTGCACGATATAACGATTGTCACATTTGTGGATCATGAATAAAAGTACATTTTTAATATATATTTTTTTTGAGAAAGTACATTTTTAATATATTAAATATAAATTATTTGTATACTGAAGGTTCATTATTTTGTAATATAACAAATAATGTACATTTAAAATAAAATAAACTACTAGTGTATTAAAAATATACTTTCAGTATAATAAAAATGTTCCTTATATTAGTGATTCACCTTACAAGATGAACCATAATCCATGCTATAATAATTTACAATGTAATCAAATTGACAACTTGAGCAAAAATTTAACAAATCATATTTGTTTCCATAAGAATCGAAGGACTACCACATTTTAAAATTGAAAATAATTTAAAATAAGTGTGATTTTTCATTCTTTTATTAAAGAAGATTACAAATTTTGATATAAATTTTGTTAATCTTTGACCCAAAATATTGGATATTGTTTATTGTTTTTCATCAGTACACCTAATTAAGGACATGGTGATCAAACAATATCCTTGAACTTCAATATAAGTATAATAAAAATAAAATCTAATTGGATATCAAAAATAAAATAAAATATAATCTTGTCACATTTATTAAAACACAAAATTAAAAAACATGTATATTAGTTTTTGAATTGTGAATCTTGATTAAACACGTTATACTTTTTAGTGATAATATAATATTTTATAAAATCTTTTTTAAAAAGTATTACATTTTTACTAAGAAAAATATTACGTCTCTCACATAACACAATTTCATAAGAATTTTACGATTTTAAAAACTTTTTATGGTATTATTTAACATTATAATATAATTTCCGTTCGAGAAAATTCCAACTATATATAAATACACATGAGGAAATTTCAATTTTGGTCCTATGACAATAGGGGTCTTGTTAATTTCAGTCCCTGACTTTTAAAAGTGTCAATTTAGTACCTTGACTATGCAATTTTGGTCACTCCGACCAAATTGCCGGCCAAATTTCGTCGGAAAAATTTTATAGTTAAAATAGTGAGGGTATTTTAGTCTTTTTGCCTCTCATTTCTTTCTCCCCCATTTTTTCACCGGATCTACTGCAAATTTCGGCGGAGAAGACACTCACCGACGTCGGTTTCTAGAGGGTCCAATCGCGACGTGGCCACCGTCGGACCCAGTCCGAGACCTTCTTCCAGTTTGCGGACTTGGACGATGATATCATGCTCGACGACGTCGTAGGACACTTCAACCACTACGCCCTCACCGACACTGCCATGCAGCCGGCCAACTTGACCATAAGTCGGCGACCCATTTCCACAGCGTTTCCGTTGATTCCGACTTCTTCGATGGTCTGGAGTTTGGTGCTTTGTCTACTGTCGACAACAGAGCACACACCCCGCTCTCGTCGGAGAAGATGGCGAAATGGGGGAGAAATAAAATCGATGTAAAAAAACTAAAATACCCTCATTATTTTAACTATAAAAGTTTTTCGGCGAAATTTGGCCGGAGTGACCAAAATTGACAAAAATTGCATAGTCAAGGTACTAAATTGATACTTTTAAAAGTCAGGGACTGAAATTAACAACACCCCTATAGTCATAGGATCAAAATTGAAATTTCCCTCAAATACACATAGTTATAGCTACCACTTCATTTACTTGTGAGAAATTAAATGAGGTATAATAATACATGTAATCAAAGAATTTCCTTTATGGGATAGTCACATTTTTTAATTTTCAAATCTTTTTTTTAATCTTTAAATGTAATTTCTTAAGTTTGAAGTAAATAATGTTACATGTAACTTGTGACGGATTGAATTTATTGCGGAGTATATTTTAATAATTTGGACACATTTGAAGGGGTCGGGATGGTCAATTGCCGAAACAAATTGTAACTTACACGAACCAACTGTGTATATATATAATCTGTATTTTATACATGAAATCTGGAGTACTGGTATAATACTAGTGATGGATTCTTTTGATTCGTTCCCAAACAGCGATTTCTCTGAAGAAGAGAAGGGAGTCTTTGTAAGTCTTAATTTCTTTCCAGTTCTTCTGTGTATATTCTAATAAATTCCATTCTTCATTGAGTTAATTCTTTGTTTGTTATGGACTTATAACTTAATTTTCATTCTAAAGATCATTCTTTGGCCCCTGGGTTTGCTTCATTCTTTGGTCTTTCTGCTTTCTCCAAGGAATCGAAAACTGCAGATATGGCTTCAAGCAAGATGGTAGAGTGCAGAATATATATGCCATGATGAAGATTTGTATTCAAGTATGGAGACTCCTTGCTCTTGCCATGGTACCTTGAAGGTTTGTGAGCTTTTTTTCATTTTCTTTTAATAATAAAATCTAAAATTTTCAATTTCACCCTACTATAACGTGTACTCTGTGAACCTTTCTTGAGCGTGTTTAATTTATTTTCCCCAAATGTTAGGCTGAGACGACTAATGGCTAACTCCAACACCATGTGACTAGTCATGAATTATTGAAAATGTGTGACGATATAAAGGAATAAAGCTGTATATTCACTATTAAAAATAGTTTTTGATCCTAACACCAACTTATCATAGTCTACTGTTTTAATGTATTCAAATAGGAGAAGATTTTGGACTACTACTTTATCTCTGAGTGCTTAATTAGTTTTCATAAGGATCTGGTTTTTCAAGTAGCCATAAAATAATCAATATATATAGATAATTCTGAATTCGACACATTATTCTTAATTAGCTTGTATTTGTTTTGGGCGGTTTCAGTACGCACATAGGGCATGTGTGCAAAGGTGGTGCAATGAGAAAGGTGACACTGTCATGTGTGTGAGATTTGCCACCAGGTAATTAAGTTCTGTTTTTATTAGATAATGAGATGTCTCGAGTAAGGTCTAATTATAGCTTATAAGAAATACTTTGAGCATGTATTATACTCAGACTAATTTCCATTCACATCAAAATTAAACTCTTTTTTGCTTTTGTTCATGTCTTCAGTCCAAATGTATCATTGTAAATCTAATAGAGATTATTGTTTACACTTTCTATTACTTGAAGCCCAAACAATACCAGTTTTAAAGTTTTAATTCGAAGTGGATGGGTGTTTAATAAATATTTCTCTTTTATTTATTTACTTGCTTTTATTTGTTTCAATGCAGCCTTTCAAGCCTGATTATACAGCACCTCCCCGTACGTGTTCGTCACTCTGGGAGCTTAAGGTAATCAATTAGGTCTCACACTTTACATCTTTAGCATGCCAAGCTTCTTTAATATACGTAGTACTATATTATATTTATTATGCATTTAATTTGGTATTTATTATATCAGGAGAAGTAGGGTAATTACAAGGTTAGACGTGAGTAGATCTCGTCCATTTGCAGCATGGTTAAGAGAGCAGAATGGGAATGATTCATCTAATTCTTGAATATTAATAACGGTAAATAAAATGACAGATACTATGTATGTAGAAAGTAATCAAAGTTGTATTGCTTAGAGTGTTGAGTATGGTACAAGAATTAGAACCCGTCCTTGCCTATTGAAAGGTTTCCTATTTATACTAATGTCTGCAACATCTTTATGCTCAAATAACGGTTTCATAGCAATGAAGAGACGAACCTACATTGGGTATGGTCTTCACCATAATTGCTCCCTCTTGAATAGGTCGGTGGAGTAAATGTCTCCGTCAGGTGATTCTGGGTCAGGTGCCTACCTAATATAATTACACCGTCAAATATAATATAATCATCATTGTTTTCCGTATTTCAATCTTAAGACAAATTAATTTGGTTAATTTTGTTTAAAATTTGATGAATTCCTTGTATTCCTAGTTCGCTGCAAATTTCTTGAACTTTATTTTTAGCAAGACACTCACTGGCTAAGTGTCCTTTTAAAAAAATGAAAAATAAAAAAACTATAGATGCAAGTTATTTCTTATGTGTTTCTTATACCCTTGCTTTTACATCTCTTTTTATAATATTTGGGCCTGGTGAATTTGAGATTTTATACAATTTTTGTAATTTTTCTTAAAGGATTTCTTATTTGATTTATGAGTGATGGATTTAATTAACCCGGGGTAGACCCGAATTACTAAACCCGATAAGTAATGGATAGGAAAAATGTGTGTCACGGGGACAACTCTGTATTGATAATATTCGTAAAGGGGTTACAGGACAATTGTGGTGATAATAATAGAAGTAGATGTCCTTAGGCAAGACACTAACTAATCCTTTTATACTAGCCAAGAATCCCAACAGCCCCCCTATTCTCGCGGGGCAGTTGGATCACGGGTTGACCGGGTCCATGCGAGTGCCCGGGGCCATCTTGTGCCTCCAGGCCCACATAGGCCTCGCCCGAGGTCGTAGGCCGAGGTCTTGGTCGGCCTCGCCGTAGGCCTTCGCGCCGGCCTTCCCGAGTCGGTTCGCCTCGAGCCCATACTCAATATATCCATCATCAGTCCCCCACTCTCCGAGTTGCAAGTCATCGTCAACGAAGGAGAGTAGCCTGAGTCGAAGGTTGAGCCCAAGCCTGCAAAGTATTGTCCATGCCGCGCCCCCGGGCACCCGCGTTGCACTCGGGACTTCCTCCTCCCCGGGACACCCATGAGTCTTGGATTCCCCCCTTCCACCAATGCCTAGGGAAACCCACATGTCACACCCATCAACTCCCCTCAACTTTCCCATTTCCCAAAGTTTGACCTTTTCTCTTCTTATCTTCTTATCCCATTTTCAAAATTCAAACTTTCCAACTACCCAAAATCTACTCCCATCCTCTCTCCACTTTCCTTACTTAAACCTTCTTCCCCTCCATCTCTCACACTCCTCACTCGCCACTCCCACACACCCTCTCCCCCGTCGGCCCTTCTCACACCGCCCCCTCGCCACGCCGCCGTCCTCGTGCCACGCCAACCTCCTCATCGCGGCCCTCCGACTTCCCCAATCTTCCCAACTTCTCCAAACACCCACTCCACTCTTTCCCCCTCTCACCCCTACTTAGAATCTCTCCCTCTCTCACCGCCCACTCCACTCTCTCTCTACCCGCCGGCCTCGCCCCCTTACCGTGCTACACCAGCGACCGCCCCAAGGCTCTCCGGCCTCCCCACTCTCCCCCCTTTAGCTCCGACTTCCTCCCCGTATGTCTGCTGAGTTCGAGGCCGCCGAGTTTGACGCCATCGATTTTAGCGATCTCTTCGTGTCTTTAGGCGATACCGATCCCTCCATGGACCCTGAGGAGGACCTTTTCGCCCCCCCCCCCTACGGCAACCGAGGCCCGCACCGGCCTACCCAACGACACCCCGGTCGAGGCTCGCCCCCTTCAAGCCGTGCCCGGGGCCACCGCCACCTCCACTCGTAAGTTAACTCGTTCCGAACTTAACCCCACTATTCCCCGTTCCGTGCGTCCTTATATTACCGAGGAAGACTTGGACCTCGTGCGGTTGTACGTGGGACCCGGCGTGGAAGTCCTCGCCCCCCTCCCGCACGAGAATGTCACCGAGCCCCCGGAGGGCCGATTCTTTGGCGTCCACGTTCTTTCTCTAGCCTCGGGCCTACGGTTCCCTCTCCACCCCTTCGTGGTCGAGTTGTTGAACCTCCATGGGGTCCCTCCGGGACAACTAGTCCCCCACTCTCACTCCATACCAATAGCATTCCTTCTCCGTTGTGGGGACGTCGGGGTCGCGCCCTCCCTCGATCTTTTCCACTATATTTTTAAAGCCGGAAATTCCTCGGGGGTTAAAAGCAAAGGTTTCATGGCTTTCGCGGCCCGTGCCGGTATGAAAATTTTCAAAGACCCCAAAACTGTTGAATGGGAATCCAAGTTCGCTTATCTCTCCGTAGGCCCTGAGCTCCCCTTCCATGCCCCCGTGTGGAACACCCATTTCCTTAAATATTCCACCCCTCCGGGCACCCCTTCCTTAGCTGCTAGCGCCAAAAAATTCTTAGGAGACAAGGAGGAGCTTAGGATGGAGGCCTTGATGACCCCGGAGAGGTTGGCCGCCTTGGGCTTCATAGGTGGGGCTCCGCCGTCCTGGGCGTTATCGGCTTCCCGGGGCCAACCTGGGCACGAGGCCGCCCCTTCGGGGCATACTGAGGCCTCCTCGGACGAGGTTGAGGCCGAGGGTCACTATGGGGTCCCTCGGGCGAAGCCTTGGTCGAGGGGCCGGAGGACCATGAGTCCGTCTTCTCCGCCACCGAGTCCGAGATTGAGGTCGCCCCGTCCGAGGTCGAGGTTGTCCTGCCCGAGGTCGAGGTTGGCGTCGAGCTCCGCCCTGCCGTGCCAGGAGGTCGCTCTCGTCCCCTCTTTCTCGTCCTTATATACATTCAGCTGTATGTCTCTTGCTTTTCTTTTTATCACAAACTGTCGTATCTGATAAACACTTTCTACTTGCAGGTGGGTCCTCCACGATGGTTTCTCGCGGGGAACTGATACGCCGTGCTGCCGCTGCCCGGGGTCCTGCATCCAAGAGACAGAGAGTCGTCCCCGAGGGGACCAGCCGTGCCCCTCGGGTGCCGCCTGCCGACACACGAGCTAGGACTTGAGTTTCCGTTCCTCCCGGCGTCGTGGTTACTTCCGCGCCTCCCGCTTCTGCCCCTCCCAGCGGGCTGGCTTCTATCTCTCTTGGCGAGGCGGCCCGCCTTCGGGACACAGTCTTAGGCATGCTTGGGCCTGGAGCGACGGAGTCCTTTCGGGCAGATGGGTTGCCCCCCATACTTCATGATAGTCTCTCGGTACTCCCCGTTTCTTGACTTTTATGCATTTACTTTGAATGTTTGCACATCTCTTACCCCCTCCCTTTTCAGGTGTTTCTCCGCAGCTCCGTAGCGCTTGAGGAGGTCGAGTTCGCGAAGGCGCAGGCGCAGGAGGCCAATCAACAGGCCGATGACTTGAGGAAGGCTTTAGAGGCCAAGCAGGCAGAGTGCCGCAAGATAGCCCAGGACTTCGAGGCTGCCAAGAAGAGATACTCGGAGGAGATCATCCGCGCCGTTCGCAGCTACAAGAGATCTGATGGTTTTCGTCGTGACGTGAAGGCCTATGCCGACGAGCATTCGGAGGCCCTGGTGACCGCTTGGTTGGCTACGGCCCCGGGCCAGGAGAGACTAGTAGAGGAGGGTGCGTTCTCCTACAACTTGGGATGCTACTCGACGCAGCGTGATATCTATGCCCTTCTCCGTCAGCGAGATGAGAGCTTTACCCACGAGACTTGGGGGCTACCCGCTGAGTTGGCAGACCCCGAGGCCGAGGAGCTGGGCCCGGACCCTCTGGAGGAGACGCGGGCAGAGATCGACGTCAACCTGGACGCCTCTCATACACAGACATCCTCTTTGGTGGCTGGTTCTTCCCGCGACGGGGTCGCCTCTGAAGCTTTGGAAGCGGAACATCCAGCCGCCGGTCGCCAGGAGGGCGCCCCTTAGGGAGTCGTAGATGCAGGCCCTTAACTCTTTATTTTTCTATGTATTTTGGATTTCTAGACTTTATGTACGGAACTGTTGGTTTATAACTTGCCTTGCTTCGGATACCTTTCCGCGTTCGCTCATATTTCTTATTATTAGTATTTTTTTTATTTTTTTTTTTACGCTCCCAGGCCGGAGGTTAGCGAGGCGAGGCCTCGTGCCTCCTCAGGGCAGCCGTCGGCCCCAAGTCACCGGACTTGGGTCACTAGGCTCTTCCGTCGGAGTTGGTACGCGAGGTCGGGCCTCGTGCCTCCTTAGGGCAGCCGTCGGCCCCAAGTCACCGGACTTGGGCCGCTAAGCTCTTCCGTCGGAGTTGGTACGCGAGGTTGGGCCTCGTGCCTCCTTAGGGTAGCCGCCGGCCCCAAGTCATCGGACTTGGGCCGCTAAGCTCTTCCGTCGGAGTTGGTACGTGAGGCCGGGCCTCGTGCCTCCTTAGGGCAGCCGTCGGCCCCAAGTCACCGGACTTGGGCCGCTAGGCTCTTCCGTCGGAGTTGGTACGCGAGGTCGAGCCTCGTGCCTCCTTAGGGCAGCCGTCGGCCCCAAGTCACCAGACTTGGGCCGCAATGCTCTTCCGTCGGAGTTGGTACGCGAGGCCGGACCTCGTGCCTCCTTAGGGCAGCCGCAGGCCCCAAGTCGCCGGACTTGGGCGGCTAAGTTCTTCCGTCGGAGTTGGTGCACGAGGTCAGGCCTCGTGCCTCCTTAGGGTTAGTCAGAGGGGTCATACGGGTGTAGCCACCCCCCGATGAGTGGGATGAGTCCTTGGCGAAGTACTATTACGTTTTATTGAAATCAGAAAGGGGTGGATCACCTTACAGCAAAAGAAATAAAACGGAAATCATCACTGAAAGTATTTGAGCAGGTGCTCAGAGTTCCACACCCTATCTATCGTCTTGCCTTTCGGGGTTTTGAGTTTGTAGCTGCCGGGACGGACCACGGCTGTGACTATGTACGGGCCTTCCCACCTCTTAGCGAACTTGCCTCCCTCGAGGGGCTGACTTGCTTCGTGCCTCCTCAGAACGTAGTCGCCGACCTGGAAGTAACGGGGTCGGACTCGCTTGTCATGGTAGGCTTTGGCCTGGCGTTGGTAATTTTCTGCCCGGGTGGTCGCAGTCTCCCTCTTCTCGTTGATAGGGTGGAGCTCGATCTTGTGGTTGTCCTCGTTCATGTCGGGGTCATACACTTGGGCCCGATAGGGGGGTATGGCGACCTCCGCGGGGGCCCGGGCTTCAAAGCCATAAGATAATGACAATGGGGTCTCCCCGGTGGCCCTCCTCGGGGTGGTGCGGTAGGTCCAGAGGACGACATCCAACTCCTCCACCCATGCGCCTTTGGCAGATTCTAGATTCTTCTGGAGTCCATCCACGATAGTGCGGTTGACATTTTCGACTTGGCCGTTGGCATGGGGATAGGAGACGGCTACACGGGTATGCGTTATGCGCCATTGGGCACAAAACTCACTGAACTCCTTGCTCTCGAACTGGCGCCCGTTGCCCGTGATGATCTGCATTGGGACCCCAAAGCGGCACAGGATGTTCTTGTAGATGAACTGTTTGCACCGGGCACTTGTGATGCTGGCTAGGGTTTCGGCTTCTACCCACTTAGTGAAGTAGTCCACTGCTACAATCAGGTACTTCCTCTTGCCCGATCCCATCGGGAGGGCCCCGACCAGGTCGACCCCCCACCGGGAGAACGGGATGACTGAACTGATCGGGGTGTAGTTAGTGGCTGGGCGACCTGGGCCCACCTGGAATTGCTGACAGGTTGGGCAGCTCCTCGCATAGTCCGCGCACTCCTTGGCCATCCGAGGCCAAAAGTAGCCCTGTAAGATGGCCTTCCGGGCTATGGTGTAGGCCCCCTGGTGGGCGGAGCAGGTCCCCTCGTGGATTTCCTCCATGACTACCCTTGCTTCCTCGGGGTACAGGCAGCACAACAAGGTGCCGTTGTAGGATCGTTTGTAGAGTGTGTCCCCGATGAGTTGGTAGGTTGGGGCCCTCCGCTGAACGAGCTTGGCGTCTGCTTCGTCGGGTGGCAGGGCGCCCGACTCCTTGTACACTTTGAGGTGGTCCAGCCAGCAGGCAGAACGAACTTGCACGGGAAGGACCGGATAGGCCTCGAGGCTGGACCTCGCAAGGTCTTCCACCCGGGCGATCTTGGAGACATGTTCGGGGGTGCCTTGTCCGAGTTTGGAGAGCATGTCCGCGTCTATGTTCTGTTCCCTTGGCACCTGCAGGACTTCGTGGTGCGCTAGCTGTCCCAAGAGTTGTAGCACTACGTCACGGTACCTCCTCATCCTGTCCTCGTTGGCCTCGAACTCCCCCGTAACCTGCCCCACCACGAGCCTGGAATCACATCTTATCTTCAGCTTCTCGGCCCTCATGCTCAGCGCGAGCCGGAGACCCCCGAGGAGGGCCTCGTACTCGGCCTCGTTGTTTGACAATTTGAAGTGGAAACGGAGCGCGTAGTAGGCTCTGAAACCCTCGGGGGTTACGAGGACGACCCCGCCTCTGCACCCCTTGGCACTCGAGGATCCGTCTATTGATAGGGTCCACCACTCTTCCTCCTCGCTTCGGGCCTGTTCGGTGGCCTCCCGGGCGGTGCACTCGACTATGAAATCGGCAAGTGCTTGTCCTTTTATAGCAGGTCTTGGCTTGAACTGGATGTTGTACTGGCTTAAGCGCATGGACCACCTTACCAACCTGCTGGCCGACCCCGAGGCCCTTAACACCGACTCTAGGGGCTGGTTTGTTAAGACCTGCATGGGGTGCGCCTGGAAATAGTGATTGAGTTTCTTTGCGATTACGTCTACTGCGAATATGGCTTTCTCGGTGGGAGAGTACCTGAGCTCGGCTCCCCGGAGGGCACGACTCGTATAGTAGATGGGGCGTTGCACACCCGCGTCGTCCCGGACCAGCACGGAGCTGATCGCGGCTTGTGATATACCCAAGTACAGGTACAAGGTCTCCCACCTCACGGGCTTGGCGAGCGGGGGTAACGACATCATGTAGGCCTTGAGGTCGTCGAAGGCCTTCTGGCACTCAGGGGACCACTCGAACCCCGAACTCTTCTTGAGGACCGCGAAGAAGGGCAAGGACTTCTCGGCCGACCTCGAGAGGAACCGGCCGAGGGCCGCTAGCCTGCCGTTCAGGCGTTGGACCTCCCAGAGGGACCACGGAGGCTCCATGTCCCGGATAGCCCTCACCTTGTCGGGGTTGGGCTCAATGCCCCTCTTGGAGACCATGTAGCCCAGAAATTTGCCCCCGTGCACCCCGAAAGTGCATTTCTTGGGGTTCAACCTTAAATCATAACGCTGCATAATGGAAAATACCTCGTCTAAGTCGTTGACATGGGTATCGGCCTCTGCGCTTTTGACTATCATGTCTTCCACGTAGGCCTCCATGTTGCGGCCGAGGACCTGCTTGAAGACCTTGGCGACCATCCTGGTGTAGGTGGCCCCGGAGTTTTTGATCCCAAAGGCCATGACTCTATAGCAGAAGACCCCTTCCGGGGTTGTGAAAGTCGTCTTCTCCTCGTCGTCCTCATGCATGAAGATCTGGTGGTACCCCCGGAAGGCGTCCAGGAAGCTCATGAGGGCGCAGCCTGCCGTTTCGTCCACCAGCTGATCGATATTTGGTATCGGGAAGGGGTCCATGGGGCAGGCTTTGTTGAGGTCGGTGTAGTCCACGCACATCCTCTAGGTGGGGGGTTTGGGGGCGAGGACTACGTTGGCCAGCCATTTGGGGTATAGGACCTCCCAGGCGTGCCCTATCTCGAGGAGGGTATTGGCCTCCGTCCTCACCAACTCCCGCCTCTCTGCGGAGAGGTACCTCTTGCGCTGCTGCACCGGCTTGGCTGTGGGGTCGACGGCGAGCTTATGGGTGATGACGTCCCTACTGAGGCTCGGCATGTCCTCGGGTCCCCACGCGAAGACCCCTTTGTAAGCCCTGATAACGTCAATGATGCGGGCCTGGAGCTCAGGGGCGAGCCCGGTTCACACCTTCACCACGCGATCGGGGCGGCTGAGGTCGAGGACGACCTCCTCAGTCTCCACTACGGGCTCGGCTCGTGGGTGGCCCTCCTCCTCTTTCAGCGCCTTCTCTGCTATGGTGTGCACCTGGAGGTCCCGCTTGCCTATTTATCGGCATGCCCGAAGGTAGCAACTCCGGCTGATCCTTTGGTCTCCTTGGGCGACCCCGACCCCGGTTAGCGTGGGGAACTTGAGGCATAGGTGTTCCATAGAAATTATACACCTAAGGTCCTCCAGGGCGGGTAAGCCTAGGATTACATTGTGAGCGCAACTGATTCTAACCTCTTGGTGTGTGGCGGGGCGCCTATCTCGACCTCGAGGTTGATTGACCCTTCTGTCTCTATGGAATCCCCTGTGAACCCGGACAAAGGGGTTCTCACTTGTCCCAGCTGTTTCCTCGATAGCCCCAACTGGGTGAATGTGTCATGGTACATCACGTTCACCGAGCTGCCTGTGTCCACCAATACTCTGTGTACGACCACCTCGTTGATCTCCATCTTGACCACTAAGGCGTCCTGGTGAGGGAGGGGGCCGTCTGGGAGGTCGTCGTCGGTGAAGGTGATGGGCTCCCTCCTGGGCCTCTTCTCGTGCGGTGGTCGCACGACCTCGCCCACGTAGTGGCTCCGTGCCCATTTCTTCCTTTCTGCGGGCGTGTCTCCCCCCTCGGGTCCCCCGAAGATCACATGGATGGCCTATTTCTTCTGGGGGTGGGGGTTGTCTGGTTCTCTTTCCTCCTCATCAGTGAGCTGGCCGAGCTCCCTTTTGCGTGGCGCGGAGGCGGAGGGCTCGGAGCTGCCTCCCTTCCTCCACACGCGGCCCTGATGCTGACCTTGGCCCTGCCCAGGCCATTGCACGAACTGACCCAAGTAGCCTCTCTGGATGAGCTCCTCGATCTGGCGTTTGAGGAGGATGCATTCGTCCGTGTCATGCCCTGATTGTCGGTGGAATTTGCAGTATTTGTTGTGGTTGACCTTCAGGGATATCTTCATGCACTCCCCCGGGTACTCCACGATCCCCTGGCCTTCCGCATGCTCCAGGATTGTGCTGATGGGCTGCGTCAGCGGGGTGAGAAATCGAGTGGGGGTCAACCTGGGCCCCTCAGCGTACTCGCGGCGGGGAGGCCTGGGTGCCCGGCGGTCTTCTTGGGGGGCCTCGCGCCGGGGCGGCCGCAGTGCTTGGCGCTCCTCCCGGGGTTCCTTGCCTTTACGGTCCTTCCCCTCCTCCTCCTCCTTCTTCCTCTTCTCGGCTACCTCCGCGTCAGCAAACCTAGAGGCACGGTCCATCAACTCAGTGTAGGTCTTGGGGGGGTACCGGATGAGGTCCTGGTGGAAGGCGCCAGATCTAAGGTTGCTTCTGAAGATGGGTATGGCTGCTTTGTCGTCAAAATTGGAGACCCCTATCGACTCCTTCTTCCACTTGCTGAGGAAGTCGGCCAGGGACTCCGAACTCCTTTGTTTCAAAAAACATAAGTCAGCGAACTGCTTCTTTTTCCGCATATGGCCAGCGAAGTAAGACAGGAAACGTCTCGTGAGGGTGGCGAAGGTCGAGATGGATCCTTCCGGCAGGGACCTGCACCAGTCCTGTGCGTGGCCGTCTAGAGTCAAGAGGAAGCCTCGGCACATGATAGCGTTGCTGGCCCTAGTCATTAGCATGGCAGCTCGGTACCTGTTCAGGTGTTCACGCGGGTCAGTCGTCCCGGAGTACGCTTGAATGGTGGGGAAACGGAAGTTCGCGGGGAGGGGCTCCTCCATGATGTCCCGTGTGAAGGGGGGAGTCAAGACGTCCAGAGGCTCCGGGGCCCCGTTCCTGTCATTGATTTGCTTTTGCATTTCGTCCATCCGCCTGCGGAGTTGTTCGACCTCCCCGCGATGGGAGCTCGGAGCTCGACCATTCGACTCTCCCGATCGCTCGACCCGGGAGTGTTGCTCTTGCCGCGCCGGGGCACGGGGCCCCTGGCTTGGCGATCGTCTCGCCTGTGACTCCTGCTGCGGCGGGGCTCGGGGCCTCCTGTTGGGCGAGTTTCGCGAACATGACCCAGCGGCGGGCAGTCCGTCGGCGGCGGGCCTCGGGCCCAACCTGTCCCGGGCAGACACGCGAACGCCCAACCTCTCCAGGGCGGGCCTGGCTTGGGCCGACCTCCCTCGGACTCTCTCACCATCTTGATGTTGATCCAGGCGGATGTTGCCGCCCCCCCCCCCCCGCCCCCCCCCCCCCCCCGCCTGTCCGAGGGCCGGGGCGAGTTAACCTCCCCCTCCGTCTGGGCGGCATGGGCGCGGGGTGGCCGGCTCGGGCCGCTACGCCCCCTCGTGGGGGCCGGAGGCGGAGTCGGGGCTCTTCGGGCGGCCTCCAAGCTGACCGAAATACCTTCCTGGAGCCCCCGTGCGAGGCGGTTCAATGTCGCTGAAGCTTGTTGGAGGGCGGCCGCACCTTCCCGAAAGAGGGCAGCATCCGGGGGAGGGCGGGCGGCCACCGCACCGTTGCAGTGGTTGTTGAGGCGATCTCTGAGGTCAACCGCCGACCTCAAAGAAGGGACTTGTGGCTGACTAGTGGTCCCGTTGGGGCCACCCCTAGGAGGGGAGGCACGGGTGTTACGGGAGCCGCGAGAGTTGGACCTCGACCTTGCCATCATGGGATATGGAGCACGCTCGAGCTTGTACGTCAACTCTCAACAAGAGCACCAATGATGGATTTAATTAACCCGGGGTAGACCCGAATTACTAAACCCGATAAGTAATGGATAGGAAAAATGTGTGTCACGGGGACAACTCTGTATTGATAATATTCGTAAAGGGGTTACAGGACAAATGTGGTGATAATAATAGAAGTAGATGTCCTTAGGCAAGACACTAACTAATCCTTTTATACTAGCCAAGACTCCCAACCGCCCCCCTATTCTCGCGGGGCAGTTGGATCACGTGTTGACCGGGTCCATGCGAGTGCCCGGGGCCATCTTGTGCCTCCAGGCCCACGTAGGCCTCGCCCGAGGTCGTAGGCCGAGGCCTTGGTCGGCCCCATCCGGGGTCGCCGCAGGCCTTCGCGCCGGCCTTCCCGGGTCGGTTCGCCCCGAGCCCATACTCAATATATCCATCAATGAGTTATTACTTGTTTGTAATTTTTTTTATTAATAAAGAATTGAATTCTATTAAACCTAAATTGTTCCCACCTATATATTAACTCTTTTTCTAGTTTTAGAGCTTTCTTTTTAGCACATAATTAGCATTACCACCATTGGAGTATAATTAATGATTTAAATACTGCAACATTAAGTAGCCCATGCCTTTTCTATCATATAATGATATACCTAAATGTAGAGATAAAAATAGGTTAAACCGAGTCGAGGTCTAGAAAATTAGGCAATTTGACAGTGTCGGTTTAGAGACACTATAGTGTCTGACGCGCGGTGCATAATCAATTATGCACCACGGTGCACGATATAACGACCCAGAAAATTTGACCCGGACCTACTATAGAAATCTAAGGCTTGAGTCTGGGCCTGTATGTAGTCTTTTTTAGGCTCAACCCTGAGCCTACAATTGGCCAAGCATAATATGAAGTCTGTTTAAAAGCCTATTTAATATGTATAGTAGGTCATTAATTTTTGCCTATTTATATCGTGCACTAGGGCGCGCATTGCATTGTGCGCCCTGGTGCAAAACGACATCGTTTTGGAATTTTTTTTATTTTATTTTGAATTCCGCTTTCCTGTGTCGATTGTTAATTTTCTTTTAAAAAAAATCTCATGTTTCAAAAATGTACATAATTGTACACTAAAATACACATAATTGTATACTAAAATGCACATAATTGTATAAGAAAATACACATAATATAACATAATACACAATACACATAAACTTTTAACATAATACACATAAACTCTTAACATAATACACATAAATTCATTGTTTCAGATGTACATAATTGTATAAAAAAAATGTACATAATTGTATAAAAAATGTACATAATTATATAAACAAATGTACATAATTGTATACCATAATGTACATAATCGCGTCAACTTCCTACACAACTTAACAAATCGACATCGTTTTGGAAGGCGCAGGACGCACAGTGATGTCTGCGCCGTAGTGCAAGGTATAATGATTGTTAATTATTTTTAAAAGATCTAATACTCATGCCTCAGAAAAAAATAGTGACAATAGTGATCGAGAAATATGCAAAATGTTAATACTGATTGGGATGGAGTTCGAACCTAAGACATTTCCTATTAAAATTAATAAGTAAGTTAAGAATAATAATATAGTTAACAGAATATTCGGTTACTAAAGTTTACACTAACAAAATGCAGAGTTTTTAGGAAAAAGTAAATGATATAATAGATTGTAAAGTAGGAAAAATAATAATAATAATAATAATAATAATAATAATAATAATAGTAATAATAATACTAAAATCAAAATAATATGAACCATTCATTTCAACTAATAATTAGACCTGTAATACCCACTTTCTTATAAATGCAATTATGCTTAAGTTTTATTAAGTGAAGTTAACAAGTCAAAGCTTCTTATTTTGATATTGGATAAAATTACCAAATTACCCTTCTTTACCCTTAAAGGTTAAGGAACCACTTTAGTCTTGGATAAGCATCTCATTTGAAAGAAGACAAGGAGAGCTAATTAGAGAGAGACAGGGGAAAGGAAAACCTTGAAGCTTGGATCTCCATCTTCTTCAAGCTTAGATCTCTAAGATGTTGGGTATTCTAGGTGAGTTTAACCTCTATCTTTTACTCTTTATGAGTTGGGGTTATCTTTGGAGCCCTAAGATTGATAATTGAAAATATTAGGGATTTTGACAAGGAGTATTTGGGCGAGCTAAATAGCTAAGATTTTGATGTTTTAAGTAAGTGTTTATTTCTCTCAAACTATTTTTACCCTATACCATAAATTAAACTTGTGTTTTAAGTTGTATATGGATGTTTTGAGCTGCGTTTTTGGACTGGAAATGTCTACCAGAACTGTGTTTCAAAACTCTGTTTTTTTGCCCTGGAAATGTTGAGTATTCTGGACTGAAACTGTTTCAGGACTTGACTTATATATTCTGGACTGAAAGTTGGCACTATGTGTAGAGGCGTTGGAGTGGTTTGTTGCTGCTGTGTTGGTGCCTTGGTGAGATATTGCATGTTGCGTGTTCAACTCCCCCTGCTAACATTTTGTGTGCTGTTTTACTTGTATGCTATATGTTTATAAAATGGGTTGTTTGCTTAAATTGAGACTAGAACTCTTAACCTCATGCTTATATTAACTTAAGTTCTTCCAACTAAGTCATTTCAATCACTTTGAAAATATTTTGGTTTAATAAACTATTCAGTGATTTTTAAAGAGTTATGTACTAAGAAAATTATTATTTTGAGAATGGTTTATAACTTGCATATTTCTTAGTTTGATAAACTTATTATCTATTTTGGAAATATGTACATTGTTATGTGATTTTAAGGAAAGGATTTTTGCTACATCGGGCTATTTGATTATGAGAACTATTTTGATTGTTTGATCAAACTCATGAGGCAACCTACATTTTGTTGTTTGTTTTGTTTGGCTTGGAACGTTCCTAAATGCTCATTCCGAATCATCGAGCTTGACTCATTCCGAATCGTCGAGTCTTTTGAATTATTTGTTGGAACGTTCCATCCGGCTCATTCTGAATCGTCGAGACTGACTCATTCTGAATCGTCGAGTCTTTTTGGACCATTATACCGATAATGGCATGTGCCACAAAATATAATGGTGGTTGTAGGTTGCCAATGGGTCATATGTTAAGGAATGTGTTGTGCTTTTGAAAGTATTGTTTTAGGAAATATTGTTGATGCCCAGGCCATGTAGCTAAAGTTTCTTGTTTTGTGAGCTTATGTATTGTATGATGGAGTATATTATGACTTTGATATGGTTTAAAGATCAAGTTTTGCATCTAGTTATTATTCTAAAGCTTTTTGTATTATATTGGGGTTACTTGATCCGGGGTTGAGAGGAGTACCACTTACTGGGCATTAGCTCATTATTTGTATTTGTTTTTCCTCATGTTTCAGAGTAGTTAAGGACATGTGAATAACCCGAGCACAAGTGGTGGGGTGTCGAAGGTGACTTTTGGAAACTATGAGACTTAGTCCTACTATTGGAGCTTATCACAGATTTTTTGTTTCTTTTGGATATTCCCGTTGACCCTTTGTATTTTGGTAAACCATTGTGCTTGGTTTTGGTGCTTGTAATGCATTTTGTCATGCTAGTCTTGATTGTAAATATTTAATGGGAAAATTGTAAAAAAATGACCCTCTATAATATGCCAATTATCAATGTCATCCCTGAATTATAAGTGGTGTAAATGTTGCCCCTCAATTATCAAAATGGTGCACATATAGCCCCTCCCGTAACGGACCTGTGGTTCCCCACCGCTGTCCATCGCTGGTACTTCGAATCGAGAGAGGGAAAAAACAACTAAATTACATATTTACTTCGACTTAACAGTGACATACACTAACGCGGAACCACATGTCCATTACGGGAGGGGCTATATGTGCACCGTTTTGATAATTGAGGGGCAACATTTATACCACTCATAATTCAGGGGTGACATTGATAATTGGCATATTATAGAGGGGTATTTTTTATAATTTTCCCATATTTAATAGTGCTGATTTGGTGAGTTTTTGGGAAGAACTAGTTGTTTATATTGGCCATAAAAGTGAGGAATTATTATGTATTAAAGTGTTGTTATGAAGGTTCCGAAAGGTATGTATGGCTAGGCTTCGTATTATTACAGGCTTTCGTGTAGCGATACGGTCGGGTCATGTCCTAGAAGCGCGGCGTGACAACACCCATTCA